AATTTATAAATTAATTTATTTTTATTTTATTGTATATAATTTGTAATAATTTTTGTAATTTTCTTTCCAGTGTGTTCGAGCAAATTGTAATTTACTGTGACAGTCTAATTACATTGATACCACTGAGTTTTGTACTTGGATTTTATGTGGCTCATGTGGCTGCTAGATGGTGGGAACAGTACACAGCAATTCCTTGGCCTGATAAGTAAGTTCTATTCTTAATTTATTTTTATTATAAAAATTGTTTTAAATATTCTTGAAATTTAGAGAAAAAATCCTCCTATAAATATGCGGTAAAAATTTCAAAAGGACTGAATATTAACATAAATGAATATAAAAATTACAGAAAAATTTTATTTGATTCAAATAATCACGACAATAATTAATAATAATAAAGTACATTTTCCGGTAATCTGTTCGCAGTTTGAAGTTAGATGTTGTTTGCTTTTTGTTTCTTAACTTTTTTATAATTTTTCTTTTCAAATATTTTCAATTTTAAAATTAATGTATTAAAAATCATCGAATTGTTGCAAAGAATTTTATCAAAAAATTTGATAATGTAATAGAATTCGTTCAAAGAATTTTATTATTTAGGAAAATAACTGAATTCTCGCGAAGAATTTTATTACAATTTTAAAAAATCCTAATTAAATTCTTTTAAAGAATTTCTTTGCATTTTTTTTAAACTAATGGAGATTCTTGAATAATTTTAATTTGAAATTTTGAAAGCAACTGAATTTTATGAAGAAAAATTTTATTAAAATTGAATTGAAAATAATTGAATTCTTGAGAAGAATATTACTATTTATAAAAATAGTTTAATTGTTTCGAAGAATTTATTAAAATTTTAGGAAATAATTGAAATTTATGGAAATATTTAAAAATGTTTGAATTCATCAGAGGAATTCAATTAAAATTGTTTTGAAAATAATTGAATTCCTGCAAAAGATTTTACTATTTATAAAATTAATAGAATTCTTGCCAAGAATTTTACTATATTTATAAAAATAATTGAATTTTTTCGAAGAATTTATTAAAATTTTAAGAAATAATTAAATTGTTATGAAGAATTTTATAGAAATTATTATTATTGTAATTCTTTAAAGAATTTTATTAAAAATAAGTATATTCATAATAATTGAATTCATCACAAGAATTTTATTATTTTTTTAAAATAATTGAATTCTTTCAAGTTTTTTTTACGAATATATTTAAAAATTGCATTGAAAGTAATTTAATTTTTATAAAGAATTTTTTAAAAATATTTTGAGAATAATAAAATTATTTTTTAGAGAATTTTAAATTCTTGTTAAAATTGAATTTTATGGGAATTTTTGAAAATAAATTTTATTTAAATTTGATTAAAAATAATTAAATTCCTGCAAAGAATTTTAGTATTTATAAAAATAGTTGAATATTGTTTCGAAGAATTTATTAAAATTTTAGGAAATAATTGAAATTTATGGAAATATTTAAAAATGTTTGAATTCATCAGAGGAATTTAATTAAAATTGTTTTGAAAATAATTGAATTCCTGCAAAGAATTTTACTATTTATAAAATTAATAGAATTCTTGCCAAAAATTTTACTATTTATAAAAATAATTGATTTTTTTCGAAGGATTTATTCAAATTTTAAGAAATAATTAAACTGTTTATGAAGAATTTTATAGAAATATTTGAAAATAATGAAATTTTTTCGAGAAATTCAATTAAAGTTGTTTCGAAAATAATTGAATTTGTGCAAAGATTTTACTATTTATAAACATAATTGAATTGTTTCGAATGATTTATTAAAATTTTAGAAAATAATTGAATTCTTTTTAAAAATTTTATAACGATCGAAGTAAGAAAAAAATGTTATTCTTTCACGAAATTTTATTGAAAATAATTGGATTCTTGCCAAAAATTTTACTATTTAAAAAAATAATTGAAATGTTTAGAAGGATTTGTCAAAATTTTAGAAAATAATTGAATTCTTTTCTGAAATTTCATTAAAATTTTGTTAAAAATAATTAAAGTTTTGCAAAAAATTTTACTATTATTATAAAAATAATTGAATTCTTCCGAAGAATTTTATTATTTACGTAAAAATAATTAAATTTTTGCGAAGAATTTTATTAAAATTTTTGAAAATATAAACAATAATAATTAATTTTGTACTTAATAAGTGAATTTTAAAATTTATGTTTTTGTAATTACTAATTATTTAAAAATTTATATTTGAAAATAAAAAATTTTGTAATTTGCATAAGAATAATAAGTTGAATATCACGTTCCGTACGCGTAACATTTGCTAGTTATCTAATAAAATATATTTATTTTTATCAAATTTATTATTTGTCAATTAAATTCATTTTTTTATAATACACAATTGATTTTAATAGTTTATTATTTGATTAAAATTAAAATTCATTTGATTCAATTAATTTTATTAATTTTAAATTTTAATTTTTTTAAATTTGTAAAAAAAGAAAAGATTGTAATATTAAATTGTTAATTTATTTCCCTAGAGTAATGCACCTGGTGGCTCTATATGTATCAGGAAATGACGAATACGGACGTATGCTTCGCAGAGCTCTTATGCGTTATCTCAATCTCTCATTGATTCTTGTATTAAGATCAATTAGTTCCGCTGTTAAGAGACGATTTCCAACATTGGATCATGTTGTCGATGCTGGTAATAAACAGTTTCATTTTTCGAAAAATTCAATTCAAATTTATTTATTAATTTATATAATTCAAGTTTTTTTATTTTCTATTTTTTGTATTTTTATTTTTTTAATATTATTTATTATATTTAGGACTTAGAAGAATTAATGGTACGAAAGGACTTGTCCCATTTATATTAAAATAAATAAATTATTCTTTATTTTTTATATTTTTATTTTTGTAGAAAAAAATATTAAATTTATTGGGAATCACTATTAAAGTTAAAAAAAAAGAAAAAGATGAATTAAAATATTAAAGGGAAGAAAAAAAGTCAAAGGGGAGAAAATTAATTTTCTTTTTAAATCCATCAATTCTTTATTAGGTTTTATGACATCATTGGAATTAGGTCTGTTTCAATCAGTTCCAAGTCTCGAATTTAATACCTATTGGATACCCTGCACTTGGTTTATTAATTTATTGAAGGAGGCACGTCGCAATCATCGTTTACCTGATGCACAAGGACTTAAAATTATAATGGAGGTGAAAAATAATTAATAATAATTTATAAAATAATAGTCAATAATTTTTATCATTTAATATTTGTTTTATTAATAATTACACGCAAAAAAGTTTTATCTGTCGAACAACTACAAATTTTATTATATATTAGCAAAATTTTTAGTTGTTTCAATAAATTAAGACTTTCGCTATTCTAGAGAAACTTATTGCTGTTCCAGGTGAAAACAACGTATTTTCTGTGAATTTTTTATTCTTTATTTTATTATTATTTTTTATTTTATTATTAATATTGATTTTTATTGATTTTTATTGTTGCTAATTAATATTTATTTTTACACCATTTTATTAGTCATGTGCATTTAATCTTTTTTCTTATAATCTCTTTCTAGGAGTTTAATCAATTTCGTTCGAAATGTGGACTTCTTTGGAGTTATGATTGGGTCTCGATTCCATTAGTTTATACACAAGTTGTGACACTTGCGACCTACAGTTTTTTTGCCGTTGCACTTGTTGGCCGACAATATATTGATAGTGATCTTAATGGAACGAAAAAAACTCAAATGACAATTGATATTTACTTGCCAGTATTTACCATTTTGCAATTTTTTTTCTTCATGGGCCTACTCAAGGTGAGAAAAGAAAAAATTTTAACAAGAAACAATAAATAAATCGAATAAAAAAATAAATGTGAACAAATTCCAATTTTAATTATAATTTCAATTCTAATTCCAATTTCAATTCTTAATTTAATTTCAATACTAATTTTAATTTCAATTCCAATTTTAATTTCAAATCCAATTTTACGTTCAATTCTAATTTTAATTTAAATTCTAATTTTAATTTCAATTATATAATTTTAATTTCATTAATTAATTGTATTGGAAAAAATTTTAGGTTGCCGAGCAATTAATTAATCCATTTGGCGATGATGATGAGGATTTTGAATTAAATTGGCTGATTGACAGACACACAAAGGTATTTTTTCTATATTTTATGAATTTTTTAAAACTTATTCAGTTTTTTTGAGATTAATTTTCAATTTTAATTATTCCCTAATTAATTTCAATTCCATTCGTTGATTTTTAAAAAGAATACAAAATACCTAAATTTTATTTCAATTTAAACTTCTATGAAAAATTCTACCAAAAAAAGTTAATTCTATGGAGAATTTAAATAAAATTCTATTAAAAATAATTGAATTTCTAAGAAAAATTTTATTATCTATAAAAATAATTGAATAAAAATAAGAATAATTGAATTCTTGTTAAGAATTCTATTAAAAATTTTAAAAATTCATAATTAATTTCCTGAGAAAAACTTTATTATTATTTACAATAAATTAATTCTTGGGGAGAATTTTAATCTGTATTAAAAAATTGAATTCTTGACAAGAATTTTATTAAAAATTGGAAAATAATGGAATTTCTGTAAAGAATTTTCTTATTTGCAAAAATAATTGAATATTTACTAAGAATTCTATCATTTATTAAAATAATTAAATGTTTTGTGAACAATTTTATTATAATTTTTGAAATGGAATTGAATTCCTGCAAGAATTTTTTATTTATGATAAAAATACTTAACTTCTAGTGCAAAATTTTATTATTTATTAATTCAATTCTTCTATAAGGACTTGAATTGATTTTCTCAAATAATTTTATTATATTATTCAAGATAATAATAATTTAACTCTCACATAGAATTTTTTTATTTATGTTGAAAATAATTGAATTCTTGTCAAAGACTTTTTTTAAAAACTTTTAAAATAATTGAATTCTCAGGAAAAATATGATTATTTATTAAAATAATTGAATATTTGCCAAAAATTTATTAAAACTTCACAAATAATATAATTATATAAGAATTTTATTTTTTAATTAGTAAAATTAATGAATTTTTGGGGGAAAAATGTATTATTCATTAAAATAATTGAATTTCTACATATAATTTTATTATTCATGAGAATAATCGAATTCCTGCAAAGAATTTTTTTTTATTTCTGATAAAAATAATGGAATTCTTGCTATTTAAATAGAAAATTAAATATTTTTCTAAATAAAAAAAATTTTCTAAAGCAATTCAATTATTTTCAAAGTTTTATAAAACTTCTATGCAGAATTTTAATATTTTTTAAAAGAATTGAATTCTAGAGAAAATTTTTGTTCAAAGTTTTGAAAATAATTGAATTCCTGTGATCAATTTTTGTTATTAATGAAAATAATTGAATTTTTACAAAGAATGTTATTGAAATTTTTATAAATAATAAATATGAATAATTAATAAATTACTTAATTACTCAATATGTGAATTCTTTTTAATTTTGAATCTGAAAATTAGTAGAAAATTTTAATTGATATTTGTAAATAAAAAAAATGTTGTAATTTGCCTAATAATAATAAATTGAATAATGCATTCTGTGCGTAACGATTTCTATATAAATTTATTAAATAATTTATTAGAATTGAATACAATAATTATATAAAATTGAATAAAACAATTAATTGAAATTGAATACAAAAATTGAAAAAACTGAATATTTAATTGATCAAAATTGAATATGATATATTTAAATGAAATTGAATATAATAATTTAATAAATTATAGGTGTCATATCTTGGAGTTGACACTTTAATGAGTCGATGTCCACCTTTGGTAAAGGATTATTACTTCGATTCGGAAAATATTACTTTACCATATACGGAAGCTGCAGCTGCTTATAAAAAGAAAACTTATAGAGGAAGTGTGGCAAATATGCCGTAAGTAATTTCTCCAAATTTTTCAATATAAAGTCCATATATATATATATTAAAAATTTCCAAACTTATAATAATAATTATATATTAATAATAAAATTAGAGTGCCAGAAGACAAGCAGACTATGTTTCTGCCAGAAATTGCTGAAGAAGATGATAATAATAGTAAATTAAGTGCGACACCTCGGACATCAAGTGCCAGTTTAGCTAATCATCTGCACGACAGTCCAGATGTCGATAGGCGGTAGGAAATTTGTAATTTCAAAAATAGAACTTTTTTTTCTAATAACTCTCAATTTTGTTTTTTGAAACAATTTTTCTCTCACTTTGAATTTTGTTTCTTAAAACAATTTTTTTTCCTACTTTTATAATTTTATTTTTTGAAACAATTTTTTAACTCACTCTGAATTTTGTTTTCGAAAAGAATTTTTTTTCTCACTCTGAATTTTGTTATTGAAAACAATTTTTTTTCTCACACTGAATTTTGTTTTTGAAAACAATTTTTTTCTCACTCTGAATTTTATTTTCAAAAAGAATTTTTTAACTCACTCTGGATTTTGTTTTCGAAAAGAATTTTTTTTCTCACTCTGAATTTTGTTATTGAAAACAATTTTTTTTCTCACACTGAATTTTGTTTTTGAAAACAATTGTTTTCTCACTCTGAATTTTATTTTCAAAAAGAATTTTTTTTCTCACTCTGAATTTTGTTATTGAAAACAATTTTTTTTCTCACTCTGCATTTTATTTTCTAAAACAATTTTTATTTTGACAAAATTTTGGCCAATCTTTCTTCCAAAAAAGATTCAAAAAGAAACAAAATTTTTCTTTCTGAAGAAATTTTTTATTTTCTTAAATACAGTAGAACCTCGGTTATCCGAGCCTCGATTATCCGAGATTCCGGATTATCCGAGGCACAAAACATGCTCGGATAATGCGGAATAACTCGGATAAAACGAATCGAGCGACTAAATTTGGAAAATAAATTTTACAAAACCACTATTTGTGATCATTGCATTTAAAATTTCGTCCATTTTTGTCATTTAATATTATTCTAACACTTTAAACACATAAAAAATAATTTAAAATTTTGAAATTTTCATTGGTTCCGTGTTATCCGAGTTTTCGATTATCCGAGGTACCTCTTCCCCACATTACCTCGGATAATCGAGGTTCTACTGTAATTGAAATTCTAAGAGGAATAGTATTATTTTTAAAAATAATTGAATTTCAGCAAAGATTTATTTTTGAAAATAATTGAATTCTTGGAAAGAAATTTATTATTCCTGAAAATAATTTATTAAAGCATTGAAAATAATTGAATTTCTCAGAAGAATTTTTCTTATTTTTTTATTACTAGTAAAATAATTTAATTCTCGGGAAAAATTGTATTATTTATTAAAATAATTGTTCATGAGACAAAAATTGTATTTTTTATTAAAATTATAATTGAATTTTTGACACAAAATTTATTGAAACTTAGAAAGTAATTGAATTTCTAAGAAGAATTTTCTTATTTTTTTATTTACTAGTAAAATAATTGAATTCTCGGGAAAAATTAAAACTGAAAATAGGTAATTGAATTTCTGTCAGGAATTGCTTTATTTGCAAAAATAATTGAATTTTTACTAGAATTTTATGGTTTATTAAAATTATTGAATTCTTGACCAGAATCTATTAAAACTTTGAAAATAATTGAATTTCTAAGAAATAAATAAATTGAATTAAATAATTGAATTTTTGAGAAAGATTTGTTTTATTTGCAAAAATAATTGAATTTCTATTGAGAATTTTATTATTTATTAAAATAATTGAATTCTTGTCCAGAATATATTAAAACTTTGAAAATAATTGAATTTATAAGAAAAATTTTATTATTTTGAAATAATTGAATTCGAGCTAAAAATTTGTTTTATTTGCAAAAATAATTGAATTCTTGGGAAAAATTGCATTTTTTGTTGAATTTTTCCTTTTGAAAAGATTTATCCAAAATTCTTTTCTGAAGGAAACTGAAATTTTTTTTTTGTCTTTTCCCTTTTTGAACTAAATTTTGTTATTTTTCAATTTTTTATTAACTGAAGTACATTTGTTTTAGCCAGATTAGTGGCTCTCCTGCGGAAAGTCCGAAGATCATTGAAAAAAATTCTGAAATTATTGTTCCATTGGAAATTCAGGAAACATTTATCGTCGATCAATCGAATGAGAGACGAAGGACCAGTACCATAATAGAGGCTGTGAAAAAATTCTCAAGAACAAAACTCCCAACGCCACGCCTTGATCAAATGCGAAAACCATTTTTTTCACTCAGCAAATCATCAAAAGTCAATATACAACCATGGCCAAGTGCAACAAATCTCACTCATTTTGGAAACTCACAAAAAAAGAATGAATCAACAAAAATTGCCAATCAAAAAAAATTCACCGACACAATGACACAAAATAAAAGTGAAACATTTAATATTCCCGTCATCGATATTCGTCGTTCATCAATTGACGAACCAGAAAATGATGATGACAATGATGATGATGATGTTGATGACGGTATCATTAATTCTGCATTCTCACAGGAAAAATTAACAGACACAAAAACAAAAATAATTTGTGATTATTGTAATGAAAGTTCGTGTGATATTTATTCGGAATTTTCATCGAAAAATTATTGTAAATGTCGTCGAAGGCATTATCATCATCATCATCATTATTGTTTGGAGAATTGTCAGAATTGTCAGAATAATGAGGAATCTCATCATCATGGTTCAAAAAAACGTCTTCACAGTTACCCGAAAGTATTAGTTTATCGACGTAAAACAATTGAGAGTCATCCGCGATGGAAAAAGGGTGTACGTTGGAAAATGGTTGGCAATAAAAATGTTATTGACAAAAAATCACGAAGAATAACAGTGGACAGTGTGCCATCGGCAAAGAAACTTGTTGCATCGTCGGGAAATTCGTTTAATTTCAGTAATTCGGAAAATAATTTATCTTACGATCAGAAGAAATGCAGTTGTTCCTATAAAAAAGACGAAAGCAGTGATGATGATGACGATTCATCAATTGAGGAACAAAATAATACAAAATTATAAATTTAATTAAACACTGAGAATTAAATGGAAATTTATGCTAACTGAAAAAAATTATTGAAAAATTTTTTATTTTATGTTTTCATTTTAAATTTAATATTAATATTTAATATTTCCTACCTACTTAATTTTAATTTTTATTTTTACTTCAATTATTATTATTTTAATTTTTATTTCTATTATAAATTTATCTATGAAACTTACATTTAGAAATTTAATTCAGTCACTTAAAAATATATAAAGATTATTTAATTAATCAGTTGTTAATAGAATTTTAATATATGTGAACGTCCACATGAAAAGGGCCCATTTTGGCACTATTGGAGTTATCTATATGGGCGTATTTCTGGCAAAATTTGGAAAATTTTGAGTGGTCTTAGAACTTTTTTGGTTAAAAATTTGCTGAGTTACGGAATTTCAAAGTTTAGAACGCCAAAAACCACATTTCGAGAAAAACGGAAATAAAGATTGCGATACCAACTAATTTATTGTTGTATCTCTGGTTCTTCTTGGAAGTTATTCAGATAAGAATTGTTTCCAGTTCAGGGCACCTTGAAGATAAAAAACCAACAGGTTTTAAATTTTTAAAAACATCCCCCCCCCCTCTTAATTTTGAAAATACGAAAAACCGACAATATGGGCCCTTTTCTAAAAAAGACAGTTTTTCTATTAAAAAACCATTTTTTTATAAGATTAATGATTAGGTACAATTTTATTGTGTCATTTGAAGAAAAAGAATAGATATTAAACTTATTTAAATTTTTTTAACAGTCTCTATTACGAAAAATTTCACGAAATATCGAATTTTTCATTTCTATGACTACAAAAACAAGGACTCTAACATCAATATCTCTGGTTCTTCTGGGAAGTTATTCAGATAAGAATTGTTTACAGTCCAGGACACCTTAAAGATGAAAAATCAACAGTTTTTAAATTTTTCCACACCTCCATTTTTAAAATACGGATTACTTTTGCAAATGACCGACAAAATGGGCCCTTTTCATTTTTCTAAAGAACCAATGAAATCATACAGTTAAATTATCGATAAATTAATGAAAACCGCATGATTCGACTTGTCAAAACATGTAGATTGATAATAAAAAATAAAAAAAAATTAAGATTTTGCTCTAAAATTACTTAATTGAGATTATCTCGAAAACTAGAACCGACAATATGGGCCCTTTTCATGTAGACGTCCACATATTAACAAACTTATAATTAAATATGAAAATAGAAAAAAAAAATTTTTAAATTAAATATGAAATTATATTCATTCAATTGATTAAGATAAGGATTTACGTGCACGTTTTTTGAAAATTAGAAAACACACTTTTTTTTACATATATCAAAAGTTTTACTTAAAAAAAAATTTCTTGCAAAGTTTGGAGTCTGTTTACTACGGATTTTTTTAATAATACGAATTTTAAATTATAAACTTTTAACATTGATTCTTATGGAGAAATGTGAAATTTATCCTTTTAATTGAAAAAAAAAAATGTTGAAAGAAATCCAAATAAATTCATGTTTTTTAAAAAATAAGTGCATGGGGATATTTTATTATTTTATGGTTATAAATGTCATGAAATTGAAAGTAAAATAGAAAAAGGTGTTTTAAAAAACTTTCTTCTCAACGATAAATTACATGCACTGACATTTTTCTGCATTAATAAAGAATATTTTAATTCTAACCAACTAATCATAAAACAATAACATTCGTGCTATTGACGGTTGTGAAGTTGTCAGATTTCAACACGATAGTTATAACATAGTATTAGTTTATATACGAATATAAAATTTTTCTATAGTGTGTGTGACAGTAACAAAAAAAAGTTTTTTTCTGAAGTATGAATATATCCCATATGAAACATCTCATTTTGAGGTTTTTATTTATATTTTTGTCAGGAAAAGTCGTGCACGTTCATCCTTAATTCCTTAAGTAAAGTTGAAGAACATTTTAATTTTTTTAAAGATTATTTGACGATTAGCAAATACAGTGGCGGATCCAGGGGGGGTCATGACCCCCCCCCCTGGGGCGAAAAATTTACATAAAAAAAAAGGTCAGCTATAATTATGGTCGTTGCTCGCCGAATCTATAAATGACCCCCCCCTGGAGTAAATTCAGGATCCACCACTGAGCAAATGTTAATCAATTAATTTTGAATTATTGTTTTTGATTAAAATAATTGACAAAAGTAATAAATATTTTATAAGAATGATAAATATTTGATACGAGTAAAAAATATTCGATATATATAAGAATAAAAATATTTGATACAGTTAAATGAAAATTTTATACAAATAAAAAATATTTGTGACCAATAATAAATATTTTTTACAATTTACAATTTTTTTTACAAGAAATTTCTTATTACGATTTGTTATAAATTATTAATTGTTACGAGTAATTTACTATAAAAGAAAAATATTTGTTGCGAATAATAAATATTTGTTGTACATCCCAGGCGGAAAAGTCGGACGAATGTCGGAATTTACAACCGCCTGGGATCCGCGCCCGTACAGACCGCAAGTACCGACGGTCTGTACCGATTCGGATCTGAAAAAGCAACCGGCGCGGTACAGATTATGCTCCGACTGTCGGATCCGTCTTCCCACTATTGTCAGTACTGGCTCGGTACTGGATTTCTTCCGCTGGCGGATCTTATTCTTCTGCGGCGTCGGAAGAATGACGAATATGTTTAGTCTGTACTGGCTCGGTGCTGGGCCCGATCCGACTGCGGATGGCGTCATTTATTGTCACATTATAAATCACATTATAAATTTATTTTCAATAAATGTGTCATAACTAAATAATTATTACAATAATTAATTGCATTATTTTAGAAAATAATGATTAATTAATAAATGAATTTAATTAAAATATTAAGTAATTATTTATTGAGACTTTTTTCAAAATTAAACAATTAAAAAAATTTGTTGTGCACTTATACTTTATAATTATTATAAATAAATTTATACTATTAATATAAATTTATTATTATTGAGATATTATTAATTAATAATATTGAGAATTAATAATAAATTATTAATATTAATAAATATTAATAAATATTAATATTCATGTTAATAATTTATTATTAATTCTCAATAAAATTAATGTTAATTAATAATATCTCAATGATAATAAATTTATTATTATTGTGATATTAATTAAAATTATTAATATTATTATGTTCAATATTATTATATTGAGATACAATTATTTAATATATTACATAATAATAAAAATATAGCTGTAGCATTGACGCGTAGTTATTCGACAAGTTTCATTTCAGCTTGTGACACTTGAGAGTATTTAAGATTTGAGAGTCCCATGCGAGCGTAGCATAGTGGTTAGCGTGCGAGATTTCGGTGCGTAAATATTCGGTTAGGCGTAGGTTCGTACCCCCAAGCGTTAGGATTTTTCAAATGTGTATGTAATAAAAAATTGCGTTTAAGTGTATAAAAAAATATAAAAAATGTGTAAAGTGAACTGTCAATGAATTGTCATCAGTATTTATCTTTTGCAATTAATTATTATTTTTTTTATCGATATTTGTTGAAATTATCATTTGGATCCGATCCGGTTGTCAGTCGGTAGAATGCCAGCGCTCGGCTGGCTATTAAATGAAAAATCCACGGTCGGTAGAGTGCCAGGTCCCAGCCGGTTGAATTATACACGGAACGGCTTCTCCCGGCCGGTCAGCGGGCGGTAGAATGCCAGTTCCGAGCCGGTTGCCAGCGCGCTCCTGGCCTAGTCACTATTCGGTAGAATGCCCGTTCACATTCGGTTGGCAGGCGGTTCTGAGCCAGTACAGTTACACCGGCGTCAGTACGGGCTAGGATCCGTGCCGGTTGGAAATTTCCGCCTGGGATAATAAATAATTATTGAAAATCATAAAAAATTAAATTGAAAATAATAAATTTTTGTTGCAAATAATGATTATTTATTACAATTTGCTATAAATAATTTGTTACAATTAGGAAATATTTGTTGCGAACAAAAATAAATACTTTTTGTTAATAATAAATATTCATTGCAAATATAATAAATATTTGTTGCAAATATTAAAAAATTACTTGCAAATAATAATAATTATAATAATAATTTGTTACAAATGATTAATAGGTTTGGTGACAATAAATCCTATTCGTTGTATGAAATAAATATTTATTGTAAAAAATAAATATTTGATGCAAATAATAAATTTTTATTGCAGGTAATAAATATTTGTTGCATGTAATGATTATACTTGTTACAATTTGTTATAAAAAATTTGTTACAAATGATAAATATTTGTTGCAAATAATTAATATTTGTTAAAAATAATAAATATTTTGTTGCAAATAAATATTATTTGTTATAAATTTGTTAGAATTTGTTGTAAATAATTTGTTACAATTAGGAAATATTTAAATTGTTACGAACAAATAAATACTTATTGTAAATAATAAATATTTGTTGCAAATATTAAAAAATTCCTTGCAAATAATAAATTTTTGTTGCTAATAATTCATTACAATTTAATACATATGATAAAAATTTGTTGAAAAAATAGAACATTTGCTAAAAATGATAAATGTTTGTTGCAGTTACTAATTATTTGTTATAAATTTGTTAGAATTTGTTGTAAAAAATTTGTAACAAATAATTTGTTACAAATGGAAAATATATTTGTTGAGAACAATAATTATTTGTTGTATAGAATAAATATTATTTGCAAATAATAAATATTTTTGTAAATAATTAATATTTATTGCAAATAATAAATATTTGTTGCAAATAAAAAATATTTGTTGCAAATAAAAAACATTTGTTGCAGATAAAAAATATTTGTTGCAAATAATAAATATTTTGCATAAATTATAAATATTTATTGCAATTAATAAATATTTGTTGCAAATATTTAATATTTTTCTTGATAATCGTTACCAAATCGATTATTTAGATCAAATTTAATTTTTCTCGGTGCAGTGTTCCAAAATATGTGACAATAAAGTAAAATTAAAATTTCTCTAATATAATTAATGGACCATAATAGTGGTAAAAAAATGCTTTTTTTCAGCAAATCACTCTGAAAATTTATTTCCTTAAAAAATTTTTTCTTATATTGTTTAAACAATTGTTAATTAAGAAAAAAGTATTTCAAGTCGATTTAACAAAAAAACTAATAATCAGCTTTTAAAAAAAATTTCTAAAGAAGTCGTATAAAAAAAATGTTTTAATGTTTATTAAATTTGATAAAAAATAAAATTAATATAAATAATTGCTATTGGATTATGGCATAAGAAATTTTTTTAATAAATAATATGTTTTTATTAATTAATTTTATTAATTAAAAAGTAATATGCAAAAAATTTTTTTTACATTGTTTAATGAAAAAAGCATTTTTATTCCACATTAAAGTTATTTTAATTTAACGTTTGCCATAAATTTTAGAACACAAATTTCCTAGAAAAAAATTTAATTTACAAAGAAAAACAAATTATTTTTAATAAAAAGAGAATATTAATAATAATTAAAAATAATTAAATGAAGAATTTTTATTAAATAGAAAATAATTCTTTGAATCAAAGAAATTCCAATGTCGATATATTGAGTAAAATTAAGTTTTAAAATGTTGTTTCAGTTAATTTGTATTTTAAGCAAAAAAAGCAAACAAAAAAATGAGAAAAAAATTAATAAATGGTTTATTATTAAATGTGTATGATAAAAAAATTAAAATACTAATTAATTTTTATAGGCCAAATATTAAAAAATTGGCTTATATAAACGACGAAAAAAATGGATTATCTAATTATTAAATGTACCTATTTATATATATGGATATTTGTATTTTGCATTTAGAAATTACGAAAGAAAAAGTGTATAGATAGAAATAATATGTTTGTTTTCTGATGTTTTGTGCTTATTTCTCCATTTTTAGATAATAAAAAATAATAATCAACATTTATTATTTAATAATAAATAATATTAAATAATTAAATAATTTTCTTATATTTAATTATTTATGTATTTATTAAATTACGAATTTAGTTTATATTTCATTAAAAAAATATATTTAAATAGTTTTTAGTTTTTAGAAAATATGTTTGTCTTACAGAATGTAACGTTTTGCATTGATGTAATCTTCTTTTGTAAATGTAAATAGTCCTGTAAATATTGTAAATAAAAATAAATAAATTAAAAATTATTGTAAAAATAAAAAAATGTTTTTTAAATATTTGAATTTCGCGCCAAAGGGAAACAGCGCCACTGCCGAAATAGTTCGGAACTAAAATTAAAAGCCACTTTTGAGGTTAGATTTTGCGTCATTCTGGATTAGAGAAGGAGAACTTATGTTGACATCTATTTTATTTCAATTATTTAAATAAAATGTGTCTGTCTTAATAAATAAAGAAAATGTAATTCAACTTTCGATCAGTGCATATTTTTTACCTAATTGTTAATCTTTTTGAGTTAATGAACTTAGGCAAATGTAATAACACTTTTTCAAATGCGTTGCGTCTTTGGCATTGTTTATATTGTTTTTGACATTAATATCTTTCCCTTGAACTGAACTAATTTTAGCGAAAAAACATGAATATTGTGTGTGTTATATGCAGAGAATTACTCTTGCCATCGGAAGATGTGTTTCATACACCTTGTGGACACATTTTTCATTTTCCGTGTCTTACACAATGGCTTGAAAGGTATTTAATTTTTTTATATTTCTAAATTTTCCCAAATTAAGATATAATCGAGAATTTAAAGTTCTTCATTCTTGTAAAATTAATTTAATTCTAATTAATTAATCACTAGAAAACTACGAGATTTAAAATTCAGTTAAATTGTTATTTATAGAAAATTCCAGAATGATCAAGTTTTTCTTTTAATAAACTCGAGTTCAATGACACTCAGAAGAAATAACCTATATTTTTAATTTAAATATTTTTCACATTTTTATTCACAGGTCAAAGACATGTCCACAATGTCGTGAAAAAGTTTCACAGGCGAAAATTCATAGACTTTATTTTAATTTCTCGAATAATGATTCAATAGTTGAAGATAGTACGACCCTTCAAAGTCGAGTTGAAAGTTTAGAATTTCAATTGCTGATTAAGGAGAAGGATATAAAGCATTATGCTTCTAAGGCCGAAAATGCTGACAAACAAGTTGGTGGTCTTCGAAAGGAAATTTGTAAATTAGAAAATGAAATAGCGAAGAAAAATTCTGTTAATTTTGCTTTAAACGAGCAATTAATATTGCATCGTGAAAATAGCAGAATAATAGAAGAACAAAAGCGGGAATTGGAAAGATTACGAAGACATGTTGAATTAAGTCGAAAGTATGTTTATTGCTTTGTTAATTTTCATTTTTTTATAGTGTATTTTATTAAGGTTTTTATTTGTTTATTTCATCAGTGTATTTTATATTTCGAAATTTCTAAACGTTCCAATGAAGGAAATTTTTGTTAAAAAATTTCTCTTGAAAATATTTTTAAAAATTACAATTTGCAATAATTAAAAGTAAAATTAGAATATTAAATTTTATATTGATTATTGATTATTCTTTTTCTTTCAGTGTACAAACTTTGTTATGTTCGTCCTATGAAAACGTTGATGAAATGATTAAGGAGACAAAAGATCCCAATACTTTTATAACTTACATAAAAGTTCTTAAACAGTAAGAGAAAATTTAATACCGAATTCAATATTTTTTTAATGGAAATTTTTTTCTAATAATAATTGTTATTTAATTTTTCTATTTATCTTTCAGAGAATTATTGTGTTGTACAAGTAAACGAAAGGAACAAAGAACGATGATAAAAAATTTACACCAAGACGTTGCGTCTTTAACTAATGAGCGAAACACATTTGGTGATGAACTTACAAAGAAACGGTAAGAAAAAAACATTTGACATTTAAAATAATTGAATTAGGGTTAAATTAAATTTGAATAATACAATTGGAACTAAATTTAAATTAAATTCAGTTTAAATAATTAAATTGAAACTAAATTTAAATTAAATTTAAATAAATAATTTGCAACTAATTTAAAAATAAATTAAGTTTGAACAATTAAATTGAAGCTACATTAAAATTAAATTAAACTGAAATAATGAAATTAAAGTTAAATTGATAGTAAACTGATTTCTATTGAAAATAAAATGATTTGAGTTGAAAGTATAAAATGATTGGAATTGAAAATGTATTTTACTCAGTTTAAAATTGAAATTTTTTTACTGTTTTAACAGAAATTTAGAAGAGCAGCTCGCAATTAGTGAGAGTAAACGCTTGGAATTGAAAAGAAGACTCAAGGCATATGAAAATAATGAAGAATTGTCCGATAAGGAAGATGAGCCTGTTGTGTTAAATTCTCCGGAAATAAGAAATAAAGCAGAATTAGCTCGCAAAGCAAATGATGATTCAGAAGACGTTCCTCAAGCTAAAAAATTAAAATCTACAACAAGACAGGATTTTCTAAGTACTCCAATTGTCATTAATGACGATGTTTTTGACGCTGAATTTCAAAGAACTTCATCGAAAAATCAATATTTATTGGGTTCTCCAATTGTTATCAGTGAAGATAGTTCAGACGAAGGAGCAGCAGCGGTAAGTAAAAAAAAGGTTTCTTTTTTATTTGTATTACACAATTTTTTATTCATTTACTTTATTATTATTTTTTTTATTTATATTTAGTCCATTTTATCTATTTATTTTTATATTTATTCCAGGCATCACAGTTGGTCCCCTTATTTCAATTTTATCACCTTTTTCCCCTTTTTCACCGTTTTCTAATAAAAAATAAGAAAAAATAATAATTTAACATTCAAATAATTAAAATATTATTATTAATAGTTTTTTTTAGAAAAAGTGAAAAACAAAAATTCAAATACAAAACCTTCAATTTTTCCATTTTTGACAAATATTTCTTTTTAAGTAACTTAATTCTTGAAGAACTATCATAAAATTATTACTTAGAAATTATTTAATGAATAATTTTACTTAAATATTTCAAAATTAATTGAATTTTAAAAGATTTGCGTCTACAATTATTTTCATAATTAAAGATTTTAAATTCTATAAAATTTCAATTTTGAATGAATTTCATTAAAAATTCTAAAGAACTTAAATTTTTGCAAAAACTTTCAAAATTTAAATTATTCTAAAATTACTTAAATTTTTTAACATATATTTAATTAATTAGTAAAAAATAATGAATTTATCGAGGGAATTTTAGTTAAAAACACTAAAAAAATTATGAATTTCGGAGAAGTTTTAAATGATTGCAAAAATTCAATTCTATTAAAAAATTTAAAGAAATTCTCGTTAAAATTTCAATTCTTTTTATAAATAATAAAATTCTTCTTCAAAATTAAATTATTTTCCAAAAATTTTAATAAAATTCTTGGCAAAATTTAAATTATTTGCATAAATTTTCCTAAATTCAATGATTTTCAATATCTAATATTTTTAATAAAATTTTCCAAAAGAATTCAATTATTTAAAAAAAATTTTTATTAAAATTCTACGCAAACGTTTAATTATTTTCATAAATAATAAATTTAATTATGTAAAAATTTGTTGATAAAATTCTTTATGAGAATTCAATATTTAGGAACATTCAATTATTAAATATAAATTATTTATTTTTGTATTTAAATAATTGAATTCTGGTATCCTTTCCTAATTGAAATTGATTTAAAAGTGAATTTCAGTTAAAATTTTACATAATAATTGAATATTAAAAGCATTAGAGCGTGAATTTTTAGAAATGATTGAATTTTGAAAAAGTTTCAAATTGAAATCTTTGAAAGTCTGAATTTTTCATATTTTTAACTAAAAATTCTGTAGAATTAATTTTTTTCAAAAAGTCCAATTGAATTTACTCAAAGTTTTTATTTTCTAATATATATTTAATTGAAGAATTTCCGAATAGTCGAAATTTCGTAAAATTGAATTGTATACAATTACATTTTTGAAAATTCTCAGAATTTTTTTTAAAAATTTTTATAAATAATTCATTTAAAGAAGAATTTTAGTCAAAAATTCTAGAAAATGATAATTGAATATTGAAATGATGAAAATAATTTTGAAGAAGTTGAAATCTTAATTACTATGGAAAAATAATAATGATTAAATATTTTTTTAAATAAGAAGTTATTGCTGTTTTCGAATAATTTTACAATTAAAGAAATTCGTAAATAAATGTAATAGAACATTTTTTGAGTATCTAATTATTTTTGGAGTGAATCAGAATATTCTTTTAAGGTCAGGGAAAAAGTCAAAATTTGGCTAGAAAGCAGGGAAAAAGAAAATTAAATTTTTCTGTCAACTCTAATTAAAATCGAATTATTTTAAAAAAATTTTATAGAAGCTATATGATAAAAAATTTGAATTATATATATGCAAGTTTTATAAACAAATAAATTTTTGTCCCCTTTTTGAGGAAAAAAATTCCTCTTTTCACCATTTTTGAGGAAAAAAAGGTACTGTGATGCCTGTTATTCGGTATTATTAACTTTTTTTAAAAAATTTATTCCGTTTTCTCCACAGAATCCTACGCGTAAGACAAAAGGAAACGAGGAAAATTCTCCCTATCTTCGTTTAAGATCAAAAGGAATAACAGCTCTGAAAGAACTTCATGCCCAACGTTCGTCAGTTGGCGTTGGACATTCGATTTTCCGAAAAAAGAAACCATTAAACGCACCTGCTGTAAGTTTGCCCATTTTTTTATTCACAGCAAAATTGTAACTTTCTACAAAAATGTTACTAATTTAATAATTAATAATTAACAACTTAATAATTTTGGTAATGATAATTCAATAATTTTTTCCTTTTTTCATTAAATTTCAAGATGCAGAAAGGATTGGCACCAGCTTCGTTCGATGGTTTCGGTGGCCATTCAAGAACTGAACTCTTTCCCGTGATGAATTCGAAGCAAAAGAAAACAACGCCCCAGGAAGCTGTTAAAGCAAAACGTGCCAAATTAGATGACACTAATAAGAAACTCGGCGAGTTTCTCATTAATTTAGTGTGAATGTTAGAGAAATTTAGCATAAACGGATAAAATGTGTTTTTTTTGTTTTTCTTTTAACTTTTAAATGATATTTAAATACCAGCTGAAAATTGATACGTGAACAAATAAGATTGTGTCTATACCAGTAAAAATATTTTACATTTAAATTTAAGCACTATTAATTAATTCTTCTTTGTATGTTTATAATTATCGTAATTACATTAAAATATCGTACTCTTGCTTTTGTTATTCAACTTTATTAAGAATTTTTTGAAAAATTACATTCAGTGAACAATTATTTGAATAGGGGTAAAAAAAGCTTCAAGCTTTATGATTGCATATGTATATAATACTTTTTGTTGAACGTAATGAAAACAAAGAACTGAGTATAATACTTTTGTCGTCAAAATTTCGTTTCTTTTTGAATAAAATTACTTTTTGGAATTAAATAAAATTTTCTCTTGAAAAAAAAATTCCCCTAATTAGGGAGTGAAGAGAGATATATGAAAAGGTACGAATTTCTTTGGATCTTATTTTTTTGTTTATTAAAAAGTGTTGTCAAAAATTAATCGGACATCTAAATTATTTAGTGATTTTTTTTTTGCAGGTGGAGAAAATAATGCAACTTTTCAAACGTGACTTTCTTGGCATTTACACTCGTATGGCTAGTGCATCGCATCGCCTTTAAACGTTAACTCCTTTCCGAATTGAGACTATTTTTCAAACTCACTCCAACTTGAGAAATGACTCGAGCTCGCTGAAATGTTCTACCTTGACAAACCGATTATTCCAAAATTCCGGGCGCTACTTTTTCAACTTCAGGTATCAAATTCTTTTAGCTTTTTTCAATTTGCAGAATTATTTTTTATTCCTTTATTATTAAGACAGGATTTTGATAAATTTTCCAAATAACTTGTATTTTAATTTTATTTCTAACAATTTTTCTGAATAGTTGATTAAAAAATCCTAATTTTTCTATTAATTTTTATTTATTTATTTATATTTTTTCTAATTTCTAATTTTTTCTAATTTTTCTAATAAATTTGTCCAATCTATCTAAATTATTCTAATACTAAAATTTTTCTAATTTTTCCAAATTCCAATAATTTTCTATTTCTCCTAATTTTTCGAATAATAATATTTCTAATTCTGAATTTTTTTCTAGTTAATTTCTAATAAATTTTCCTAATTGATTCTTTTGTTTCTAAATTTTTCTAATAAGAATATTTTCTAATTCTAAATTTTTTTCTAGTTAATTTCTACAAAATTTTTCTAATTGATTTCTTTATTTCAAAATTTTTCTAATTATTCTAGTTTCAAAATGTATCTAATTTCAAAATTTTTTTTAAGTTTTCCAAATTCTAATAATTTTCTCACTTCTCTAATTTTTCTATCCCTTCTAATTATTTTAATAATAATATTTTCTAAATCTAAATCTTTTTTACTAATTTTTAATAAAATTTTCTAATAATTTCTAATAAATTTTTCTAATTGGTTTTTTTATTTCTAAATTTTTTTAATTTTTCTAAATTTTTTATTTCTTCTAATTTTTCGAATAATAATATTATTTCTACACGGAGAGAAAAATCAATCGTTTATAGCATGAATGCTTTGTATTTTAAAAGTATGAAATGTTAGTATACTATGACTGCAAGAAAGTATACTGCGATTGCAAGAATCCTATGCTTTTTCGGTATTAGACCCTTGCAACTGGCTATTAGGCCACGCCCAGAGCCTGGGCCGACCAATCACATTGCAGAAAACTTTTACCGAAATCGCATAGGTTTCTTGCAATCGTAGTATGAAGAACTTCATGCTAAAAAGCCCAGATATTTCTCTCCGTGTAGTTAATTTCTAATAAATTTTTCTAAGTCATTTTTTTATTTCTAAATTTTTCTAATTTTTCTAATTATTCTAGTTTTAAAATGTTTCTAATTTCTAAATTTTGTTAAGTTTTCCAAATTCTAATAATTTTCTCATTTCTCTAATTTTTCTATTTCTTCTAATTATTCTAATAATAATCTTTTCTAAATCTAAATATTTTTTACTAATTTTTAATAAAATTTTCTAATAATTTCTAATAAATTTTTTTGATTGATTTTTTTATTATACCTACTAATTTTTTTTAATTTTTCTAAATTTTCTATTTCTCCTAAGTTTTTGAATAATAAATATTTTCTAATTCTGAATTTTTTTAGTTAATTTCTAATAAATTTTTCTAATTGATTTTTTTATTTCTAAATTTTTCTAATTTTTCTAAATTTTTTATTTCTTCTAATTTTCTGAATAATAAATATTTTCTAACTTTGAATTTTTTTAGTTTATTTCTAATAAAATTTTCAAAGTTTTTCTTTTTTCTAATTATTCTAGTTTTAAAATGTTTCTAATTTCTAAATTTTTTTAAGTTTTTCAAATTCTAATATAATTTTCTCACTTCTCTAATTTTTCTATTCATTCAAATTATTCTAATAATAATCTATTTCTAAATCTAGATTTTCTTTACTAATTTGTAATAAAATTTTCTAATATATTTTCTCATCTATTAATAATTAATATACTAATTTCTAATAATTTCTAATTATTATATATTTTCCTCTATTATTAAGACAAGACTTCAATAAATTTTTCTAATACTATGAAGCTTTTTTCGGACTTAATTCTTAATTTTTAATTTTTTTCAAAATATTTGATTTTTTAATTAAAGTTTGTTTTTAATTTTTCTTATTCTTATTATTCTTATATTCTTATTATTATATCTATATTCTTATTTTTCTTATTAAATAAAATTAATTTCCTTTCTGCATTTAATATATTTTAATTTAAGTTTCAAATATTCTAATAAGTTGAAATAGCTTTCAAATGAAAAAAAAATCAGTGTTAATTTTACTGTGAAAATAATTTACAATATTCTTCGAAGTAAAAATAGAGAAAAGAATAATTTTCTCGACTGAGACTATGATTAAAAAATCTAAAAATCTATTATCTTTGATTTTAATTTTTTTTTCTTGAATTTTGTTATGGTTAATTAAAATGGAAACTATTTTTATTTAAATTTATTTTTATTAGATTTACAATTAATCGATCCTTTGAAATTAATAGAATTCAAAACTCTTTCGTTTTTCAGAAGGAAAAGTGAAGAATTCATTACGGCATAAGTTGAAAAGTGTGACTAAAATCAGGCATTTTGGAAATATTATGAACGAATTCTTGCTGCGATATACATCCACTTTGAACGATATCCAGTTCCTCAAGAGCCTAATAAAAAACCAAAAATTTCAATTTCAATCAAATAAATTAAAGGGGAAAAATTATTTTTCGTTTAGTCGACATTTGACGTCAATTTTTTTTTCAAGTTGTGAATGAAAGAAAAAAATAACTTTTTACAATTCTTCATTTTGAAAATTTACAAGAACAAATAATTTTTAATTTCATTCACAAATTGGAAAATTAATAAATTAAAAAGCAGGCACTTTATTTTATTTTTTCGGCAATAAAAATTGACCCATTAAACTTTAATTTTGAAAGCGAAATGAATCGTAACGAATAAATATATTACACGTTGGTTGTGTGATATGTATTATTTTGTGAAATGGTGAAAAGTGTCGTTAAAACAATAAATATCACACTTCATATTGCGGGGCTAATAATAGAATTACAAGCAGAATAAATGGTATTGAAAATAAATCAAATGAATAAATCTATTAAACAATGACACAAAGTGGTTAATATAATTCCACTTAAATTTGATTGTCATTGACTATTCAACAAAATGCGATGATATTCTTTTTTAGCGCTCAATAAATTGTACAATTATCCAATCAATTGCTGAGATAATGCCAACTAATTGGCTCACAGTGTTTCAATACTAGATAATTATTGAGTCTGAAACATTCCAATAATTTGATTCGTCTCTTTACAATCATCAATTAATGTCCATTATTACAAGTCAATATAATGGATATAGTTATATATATGTATAATACTAAACTATTTTCAATGAGAGATTTCTACTATAAATTGTTCCAATTCATGTATACCAAATTACCCATCTTCCATCAATTTCATTATTAATTGCTAATTAAAAATTAAAATCAAAATATGTATTAGGTATTTTGGAAGAAAAATTGCTCATCTTGGGAAATTAGAAATTTTTTACCAATTTTGTTTGTTTTTTTTTTGAAAAAAAGTAAATTTAGTCCAAAAAGGAAAAGAAGTTATAATTAATGTGAAAAAATATTGTAAATTTTAATCTTGAGGCTAGAGTTGTTTTTTTATACGAGCAGGGGAAAAATCACAAGTTGTAAAGCATCAGTTTCTTGGGAACCATCTTGAGAATTTTATAAAGGTTTCTCTCGGAATTAAAAAATATTCCCAAAGGTAAGAAAATATTTTCGAAACAAAAAAGATGAACGGAATTTACAGAAAAAAAATTAAAAATAATAATAATAAATTTTCTTTTTTCGTTTCAGGGTGAAAAATAATAAATTTTTTATATCGAAGCACTGAAATGGTAAAAGTTTGAACAATAAAATAAATATTCGATATTCTACATTTTTCTAAGAGATTAATATCGAAATTAATTCTTTCGGAATTAAAAAATATTTTCAAAGGTAAAAAAATATTCTCAAAATAAAAAAATAAGCAGCATTGGCAAAAAGTTGAAAATTTTCTTTTTTTGTTTCAGAGACAGAAACTAAAATTTTGATTACGAAAGAATAAAATAAATATAAATCCGATTTACTACGATTTTATAAAAATGACTGATTCATGAGCTGAAAAAATGGTATCGAAGTTAATTCTCTTGTAATTAACAAATATTTCCAGAGGTAAGAAAATATTCTCAAAATACAAAAATTAACGTTATCTATTTAAAAAAAATTTATATTAATAATAATAAATTTTCCTTTTTGTTTCAGGGGCAAAACTACTAAATTTTTTATTTCGAAGCAACAAAATCAAACACAGGATTTCCACAGGTCAAGGAAGTGAGGGAATTCAGGAAAAAGTCACGGATTTTTATTAAAAATACTGGAAAAATATTAAATTTTAAGAATTCATAACTAAAAAGAAAAAAATTAACAAAAGAATTTAATTATTTAAAGAAAAAATTGATAAAATTCACCCAAAATGCAATTATTTTCATAAATAATAAAACTCATCGAAGAATTTTAATTATTTTTAATACTATTTTAAATTTATTAATCGAAAAATTCAATTATTTTCACAAATATAAAGTTTTCCACAAGAATCAATTATTTTCAAAAATAAAAGTTTTCCACAAAAATGCAATTCTTTTTAAACATTTTAATAAAAAAATTTTCGCAATAATTCAATTATTTTCATAAATAATACACTTCTTCTTGGGAATTAAACTATTTTTGAAAATTTTAATAAAATTTTCAAACTATTCAATTATTTTCAAAAATAATAAAATTCATCGCAGGATTTCAATTATTTTTAATACAGTTTTACAGGAATTGCTCAAAAAATGTAATTATTCTTAAAAATTGAATTTCAATTCTTCGAAAAAATCAATTATATAAAAGAATGTTTTATTAAAATTCTTTGGAAGAATTCAATTATTTATAAAAATAATTCTTCGAAAGAATTCAACTATGTCGATAAATAACAAAATTTTTCCTGAAAATTCAATGATTTTGTGGTATTTTAATAAAATTCTTTGCAAAATTCAATTATTTTCATAAATAACAATATTCATCCCAAGAATTCAATTATTTTTAAAAGTAATAAATTTCTTCTTGGAAATTTAATTATTTTGAAAAATTCTAATAAAATCGTTCACAAGAATTCAATTATTTTCATAAACAATAATAAAATGCTTTTTAGGATATCAATTATTTTCAAAAAAAAAAATTTAATAAAATACCACACAGACATTCAATTATTGTCAAAAATTTTAATAGAATTCTTTGTAAAATTTAATTATTTTTAAAAACTTTTCGCAATTAAATGATTTTTCAATATCTACTATTTTTATATAATATCCAAACCGAATTCAAGTATTTAAAATTTTTTTTGTAAAATCTTCGTAATAATTCAATTTTTTTTATGAATAATAAAAATTTAGCAGGAATTCAATTATTTAAATTAAAATTTGCATAAAATTAATCGAAAAAAATGAATTATTTAAAAATTTTTATAAATATTAAAATTTTTTCATGAATAATAAAATATTCGTTGCAGAAATTCAATTTATTATCAGGATAAGAAAGAAGTAAATATTTTTAATGAAAATTAGGAGAAAGTCAGAAAAATAAAGTATTGAATGGAATTTTTGTCAGTTTTGTAAACTGTCTAAAAACGAGTTTTTTTTTTTGGTCGTCAAGTTTAATTTTTCGATAGCTTCTTTTTTACTACTTTTTTTAGTTTGAAAGCTACTTTTTTAAAATTAATTATCGAGTGCAAAGTCTGTACAATATTTTTTAACAAAACTTTTATTTTTTTAAAGAAAAAAATTTAAATGATCTTGATTTGCCAATTATTTTTATGATCTTGTAATTATCTGAATTGTTGCTGGAATGTTGATTAACAACATACTGAAGAGAAAAAATTTTATTTTTACTTTTAAGTCGTAGCAGCCATACAGCCGAACGTTCAGCGAAAGATGAAAATTTGAGGAAAAAGACATCTAAAATTGAAATTTTTGAATCCTACTAATTTTTAGGAACTTTTGTGAAAAATAGATAAAACGAATATGATTATGGATTGAATTTGGTGACAATTTGTTTTTGAGTTTATAAATATTGTAGAACCATATAGTAAGGTGTCTGGTTCATGCGGAAGTGCTGTGTCTCGCTCTATGCCTCTATTATGGCACATAAGACAATAGCATTATTGTCCCATAAGCCATAATAGCCCCTCATATCGAGACCGAGAAAACTTTTCACGGCATCGCATCGCATCCAAGGCGTGATAATGCTTGCCTTCAATGAATATATATATATATATATATATATATATTTACACTTCTATTCCTTCGTATATGCATTCGCAGAAAATCATTTTCAACCATTATCATCTTACACTATTCAAAACTAAAATTCTCAATGCCTCAAGTGTATTTTCAAAGGTATGGAAAAATATTTTATTTATATTGTTAAATACTTTTTAAGGTGGAATTTTATATTTATTATGCAATTATTTGGAAGCTTTTTTTGGATCAGTTTTCATTCTTAGAATTGATTATGGAAATTGTATAATTTGGCATCTTTTATGTAGAGTCGACTTTTTTTATTCAATTCGAAAAAATTTGAAAATTTAATCTATTTTTGATTAGTAAATTTACTCCGAATTATTTTGGTAACTGAATTTATTTTAATCAAACAATCGATTATTATTGTTCATTATTAAATATGAAATAAAATAATAAATTCAGGGTTGGGACAGGTCAGTGAAATCAGGGAATTCAGGGAAATGTCAGGGAAAGTAAAATTGGCCAGGGAAATCAGGAAAAAGTCAGAAATATTTATTAAAGTACTGAAAAAAATTGAATTTTAAAGAAGTTACAAATGTTTGCAGAAATTCAATTATTTTCAAAAGTAATAAAATTCTTCGCAGAAATTCAATTTTTGTTCAAAAATTAAAAAAAAAATCTCGTCAAAATTCAATTATCATTAATAATAATTAAATTCTTCTTCAAATTTCAATTATTTTCAAAAATTTTAATTAAATTCTTTGCAAAATTTCAATTATTTTCAAAAAACTTTTCTCAATTTAATGATTTTCAATATCTACTATTTTAATAAAATTGTTCAAAAGAATTCCAATATTAAAAAAAAAAATTTCGATAAAATTTAAGTAAACATTAAATTATTTTCATAAATAATAAAAATTTTACAGGAATTCAACATAATTACAAACTTCTTATAAAAATTTCTTCGCAATAATTCAGTTATTCTCCTAAATAATAACATTTCTTACAAAAATTCAATTATTTTCATGAATAATAAAACTTATCATATAATTTCAATTATTTTTAATACAATTTTAATCAAATTCCTCGAAAAATTTAATTATTCTTGAAAATTTTATTGAAATTCCTCGAAAAAATTCAATTATGTTGATAAAATTCTTTATGATAATTCAATTTCGAGAAACATTCACTTATTCAATAAATTATTTATTTTTGTATTTAAATAATTGAATTCTCGTAGAATTTTCCAATAAAAATTGATTTAAAAATGAATATCAGTTAAAATTTTAAATAATAATTGAATATTAAAAGCATTATATAGTCATGAATTTTTAAAAATAATTGATAATTGAATTTTTTCGAAGAATTTGAATAAAATTTTTGAAAATAATTACATTTTTCGAACAATTCACTTAAAATTGTATTAAAAATAATTGAATTATTTCCAAGAAATTTATTACAAATTTTGTAAATAATTGAATTCTTGTGAAATTTTCCAAGATACTTGAAATTTTGACAATGATTTTATTTTAATTTTTGAAAATAATTGAATTTCTGTGAAAAATTTTATTATACTTATAAAAATAATTGAATTCTTGAAAAGAACTTTGTTAAATTTTTTTTAAATAATTGAATTCTTGCGACGAATTTTATAAGAATCTTTTTAAATAATTGAAATTTTTTTGAAAAATGTTATGAAATTTTGTATTTTAAATAATTGAAATCCTGAAAACATATTTTATTATTTATAAAAATAATTAAATGATTGCGAAGTTATTTATAAAAAAAATTTGTAAATAATGAAATTCGTGTTAAATTTTTTATTATATTTTTTGCAAATAACTATATTTCTGTGAAGAATTTTATTATCTATATAAATAATTGAGTTCTTGCAACAAATTTTATTCAAGTTTATAAAAATAATTGAATTTCGGTGATGAATTTTTGTTATTTATAAAAATAATTGAATTCTTGAAAAGGACTTTGTTAAATTTTTTTTTAAATAATTGAATTCTTACGACGAATTTAGGCAAATAATTCCATTTTTCTAGAAATTTATTTTAAATTATATTATAAATAATTGAAATCCTCAGAAAAATTTTATAATTTATGAAAATAATGGAATTCTTACAAGGAATTTTATCATTTTTTTTAAATAATTGAATTTATATGTGAAAAATTTTATGATTTATGAAAATAATTGAATTCCTGCAGCGAATTTTATTACATTTTATTTAAATAATTAAATTCTTTTAAACCCTTTTATTAAAATAGTAAATTTTGAAAATTTTTGAATTTCAGCGTAGAATTTCATTATTTGTGAAATTTAATTTAATTCTTGCAAAAAAAATTTTTAAAGATAATTTCATTTTTCGAGAAATTTATTTAAAATTGTATTATAAATAATTGAAACCCTGTGAAGAATTTTATAATCATTTTTGTAAATAATTTAATTTTTCTTTGAAAAATTTTATGGAAATTAAAATTTTTATAAAACATGAAGATGTCAATGACTCCGAGTCGAATAATTTTACAATGAAAGAAATTCGTAAGGAAATGTAATAGAATTGTTTTTTGAGTAGGTATCTAATAATTTTTAGAGTGAATCAGAATATTCTTTAGGGTCAGGGAAAAAGTCAAAATCAGTCAGGAAATAGTCTGTAAATCAGGGAAAAGTCAGGGAAAAACAAAATTAATTTCTTGTGGCAACCCTGAAATAATTTGACAAAAAAAATTACTAAAAAATAAATATTTGTTTATTGTTGAAAAATAATTTGACTAGAAAAATTTGCCAAGAGTAAACATTTTTTTTTTATCAAAAATAATTTAACAAAATGGAAATATTTATTTGATAAAAAATAATTTGCCAAAAGATAAATATTTTTTATGATAAAAGATAATTTAACAAAATAAATTTGACAAAAAACGAATATTTAATTGATAATATATAATTTTATAATAGTAAATATTAATTTGAAAATCGAGTCGAATAATCGATTATTTGAATGAAATAAATTTTTTTTTATGGTTTCGGAGAGTATGAAAAAAAATGATAAGAATTTTAATTGACGATACTAACCAATTGAGCAATAAATTCGGCACTCTCTCTATCAATTCTGCTGTCTCCATTTTCGAGGCCTGTCAGTCTACCTACAGATTCGATCAAATCATCGAGCGAGATCTGATTGTCGCCGTCAAAGTCTGAAAGTGAAGATTGACATTATACCCTATGCAGGAAGTTAAGTACCAGCATATTTCGCTTCAGCTCACATAAGGGTGTGCGACATCATTCAAAATTTTACACAATAAAAATTTTAATTATCAATTTTTCATTCTTGATTTTTTAATTAATATTTTATTTTCTATTGTTTCAACAAAAAAAAAAAAAAAATTAAAATATAAAAGTATTTTTTTGTTATTTTACTATAAATATAATTATTTAATTATTTCAATAAATATTTATTTATTTATTTCAGTAAAAATTTATTTATTCATTTCAATAAAAATTTATTTGTTTATTTATTTAAAAAATATAATATGAAAGAAAGGAATATTTTCAGTTGAAAAATATTGTAGAAAATTGTTTTTATATTTTACTATAAATATAAATAATTATTTATTTCGATGAAAATTTATTTATTTATTTAAATACAAATTTATTGAAAATTTATTCAAATATTTCGCCAAAAAAATAAAAAAAATCGACGTTCGTGTATGTTACGAAATAAATAAATAAATATTTATGAATAGAAAAGGATAAAAATTAAATTAGTTAAAATATATAAAAAATGGAACAATTAAAATTCTATTTGAATTAAATAATAATCAATGGATAAAAAAATTAAACGACTAAAAAAGTACGAGAAATAAAAAAAAATTATAAAGTTGATTCAAATAAAAGTTCACATGTGGATGAAAAATTGAAATTAGCAGAAAAAATATGAGAAATGAAAAATAAAATTACATTATATAATTGAATCAAATAAAAACTAATGGATGAAAAAATTTTCATCAGCAGAAAAAGACGAGAAGTAAAATAAATTAATTTACAAAATTGTATAATTGATAAACAAAATAAAAATTGATGGACAAAAAAGAAAATTTGAATTAGCAGACAACAAACAATTTACATTTCTAAAAAAAATTCTAAGTATAAATAATAAACGAAAAGGAAAAATTGGAGAAAATTTTTTGAAATTCAATTATAGGAAATAATTATAGATATATGAATCAATTAAAAATTAATGGATGAAAAAAATTTTTTTTTTTTTTTGAATTAGCAGCAGAGAAAAATACCTCGAAAAAGGAAAAATAATAATTCAGTATATATACCTACTTGATGAAAAAAAAAAGAAAAAAAAAGAAATTTTTACTCGAAGAGAAAAGTATCAACCGATGAGCCAGCAACGCAAACGTCGCAGGTGATTCTAACTTTCTTAATTTTATTTAACGAGCTTGAACTGAAGCGATGGTTTTGCTGGACTTTTTTCTTAATTAATGTCACTCGATATACAGATTTGCAAAAGACACTCAAGCACTAATACACTGTCATCTGAATTTTTCCGCTTTTACTTTGTGAAAAGTGAAATAATACATTTCTCTTATTTAAAAAAGAATTTAATTAAACGGTTATTCTTTTTCTTTCTTTATATTCTCAATTGATGTGTATATATATATATTTAAATAAATCCTGACCCAGTTTTCATTTTGTATTTTTTTTGCTATTATTATTATTGTTTCTCTGTAATATTTTCCAAACAATTAAATTTTATCTTTTTCTAATATATATATATATATGGAAATGACGGTATTAATTGTAAACTTTAAATTTTTTTATTTTGGAAATTAATAACAGTCTCTCTCTCTCTCTCTCTAAAAATAAAAAAATAGCAATTTAAAAAAAAAATTAGCAATTTAAAAATAATAGAATTTAAAAATTTTCTAATTTAAATTTTTGTTGAAAACACTTTAACAATTTTCTAATTTTGTTTAGAAGTAAATAACAAAAAACTGCATAATTGCAATTGGACAAAACATAATATTTAACAAAATTTTAGTCTTTTAATGAAAAAAAGTGAAAAAAATTCTGATGATTTCTATTTGTCATTACAATTTTGAATTAATTGTGAATTAATTATAAAATAAAAATAATTATAACATTATAATATAATATACAATCTAACTAAAGTTAACAAAAAACAAAAGTATAAACAAAAGACAATTTCAGAGTGTGAGGGACAGAAAAAGTGAATCAATGAAAGAATGAAAGAACATTCAAATCATTACAGTTAATTATAAGAATTTAAAAATCGTTTCACTGGTTAAAAATTAGATATAGAAAAATTTTCATTAATTTTGGTCATTTCTCTCTAAAACTTGAAAAAAAAACAAAAAAAGAACGATTAGTCCACTAATTAAACGATAAAAATAAATTTTCAATTTATTTGACTTAATTTTTAGTAAAAATAATTTTTATATTTAAAATCTATGATTTTATTTCGTAGTAAAATATTACTAAATAAATTAACAACAAAATTCTTATTAATTTCAATATTAGTGTATTTTAAAAATTTTTTATTATACAATATTATTAGTATAATTTTATTAAAAAAGTTTTACTAAAAATTATTAACAATTTTCAGTCACTTTTAATATTGGTTTACATTTGGCTTATATTTATATTATTTTAGTAAAAATATTTCAGTTTGCCTTTAGTGAAAACTTTACTAAAAAAAAATTTAATTTACTAAAAAATGTGAGGAAGAATTCTTATTAATAACATCCCAGCAAACATTGTTACATAACAGTTATGTAACAGTTATGTCACAGAATATCACACGTGATATAACATGATATGAACATGTGACACGAAATGTCGTAACATGAGGGTCACAGTTACATAATTGTTACAAGAAGGGTGATATAACAATTATGTTGCAGCGTGATATTTAATTATTATATCACAGTTATGTAAATATGTTACATAATTAGAAGAATTTGATACATAATTGTTATATCACACTTATATTACGTTGTGACTTATTATTATATCACAGTTATGTAAATATGTTACATAATTGTTATATCACACTTATATCACGTTGTGACTTATTATTATATCACAATTATGAGATTCTGTTACATAATTTGATGAGCTTGTTATATAATTGTAACATCACTATTATGACCTACGTGAAAATTATTGTTATTATTTTTATTCAATAGATAATAACAAATGCCATTTGACATGGTAATATCCAAAAATAATTTTAGTAAAAAACTGATTTATTAATTAGTACATTTTTTAAACTTGATTTTTTTACAGATCTTTAATATTATTTATAAACATGTTCACAAGTTTATTTTATTCACATTTCACAACACTTATATACAGATTAAATAGTAATTTTATTATTTTACATAACGCTTAGAATGAAAAATATCCGCTCGCATGTGGGATCGAACTCACGTCCCCCCGCCCTTGACGACCCGACGCAACGCATTTAAACCGCACGGCCACTGAAGGCTGGATGAGAATTCTCCTAATCTACTATATCAACTGCAGTGCCGTATATTCTGTTACTTACTGTTATGTAACTATTACGTAACAAAGACAAACTTGTGATTTTTTTATTTGTAATATACGATTAACGTGTTAATAAAAATATCTACCACACATTAGTCACAGTGTTCAGTAACAATTCTGTAACATTTACGTAACAATGTTACACACATATAAGTAACAATTTTGTAGCATTTACATAACAATGTCACACACATGTGAGTAACAAAAAGAAACGATTACAATTATACTAATCGGGATTACAAATTTTTATTTTATTCTGAAAATTCTATTTTTCTTCACATAAAATTTGAGAGTTATAAACTTTAAATTAATTTTAAATAAATTTGTTCAAATAAAAATTTTTCTTTATTAATTTCTGACAACTTTTTACAAAAAAAATTAAGATATTTTTTAAATTATTAATAGACAAACTTTTCAGAGTACGTTAAAAAATTTTAAATAAAATTAAAAGTGAGTGATATATTAAATATCGTAAAATGTTCCAAAAGTCGGCTTCTTCACCCCACTTTACTTTTACGTACTTCTTTAAAAGTTTTGGACATTAATAATTATAATAAATAATACTGATAATAATTATTAATAATAATTTATTGTAAATTAATAAACTTAAACAGTTAAACTAGATTTATAATAAAAAATATTTATTCGAAACAATAATTATAAAATAGTGTTTCATGTTACATAACAGTTATGTAACAATTACATAATTTTATTGCGTAACAGAGAGACTACAATTTTACGTAACAATTTTGTAACGACAGTTACAGAACATTGTTACTTTTATGTTACATAACAATTACATAACAGTTACGTAATTTAGCTCTTATTACTACAGAAATGTTACGTAACAGTTACAGAACATGTTTGCTATTTAAATAATTTGTTTTTAAATATTTTAGTTGTAATAAAGACTTAAAATGTCAATTATTTATATTGACGGTTGTTACTTTTTTGTATTTTCATTTAAAAAATTTCAAACATAGCCTACAATTTTTTGCTTCTAAGTTCCCTTTCTTCAAATCGCGTCACATATAATTAATAAAAATGTAAAATATAATTTTTTAATTTTTAAATAATAAACTATAAAAATACATTATCATTATATTCACGATAGTAAAAATGAATATATATATAATATTAATTCTGTTTATAAGGTTTAATCTCTTCATTGGATAAGTTGTGAATATTGGAATAAATAAATTTATTATTTCATATAGTATTCTCTAAATATTCAAATTAAAATTTGCCTTGTTATGTTAAGGGGGGGGGGGGTATAGTTAATTCGGTGAAAAAAACGCATGTTTTTAAGAATTTTTTTTGGCGATACGCAGAAAGTTAATTTATTTTATCGCTTTACATATAATACTGCAACATTTGAACAATATTTTTCTAAATTTTAATTTAAAAATATTAAGAACTGAGCAAGATTCTAACATTTTCCTCAGGCGCCTCCAAAAATTTGCGGTGTTCACTCTAACTCGCAACAGAATCATCCAAAACAAAAAAATCAAAGTGCATTTGTTAAAGGAGATGTTTTTTGAGGTAACATCGGAAGCCATTATTTTTTTATTAAAAAATTACCAATTTTACAATAACAAATTAATCGATTTTTTACAGTGAAAATCGACTTTTTGGCTTTCAAGTGCTACGGAAAATCGAAAAGTAAAAAAACAAAAAAATCCCTTCCGATAATACCTCAAAAAACATCTCCTTTAACAAATGCATTTTGATTTTTTTGTTTTGGATGATTCTGTTGCGAGTTAGAGTGTACACCGCAAATCATTTTTTTTTTGACGCGGCTGAGAAAAATCTCATTATCTCGCTCAATTTTTAATATTTTTAAATCAAAATTTAAAAAAATATTGTTTAAATGTTGCAATGTTATATGCAAAGTGATAAAATAAATTAACTTTCTGCGTATCGCTAAAAAAAATTCTAAAAAACATGCGTTTTTTTCACCGAATTAACTATACCCCCCCCCCTTAACCTTAGGAACGAAAGCAAAAATTTCTTTTTAAAAAGAATAAGCAATTGCTTTGCGTGTATTGCTTTTGTTTTTAGGAAAAAATTGCCTATGTAAAAAACACATTCTGCCTATTATTTATTTAAGTGCAGTTTAAAAGAATGTATCACATTGTTGTATAATACGTATGTTATGAAACTATGTTACTGTTATATCACGTCCCAGTAACAGTGTTAATATTTCATTATATAATAGTTACATAATAATATTGTCACAGTGTGATATAATAATGTGACCTACTTTATTAATTATAACAAAATTATGTATTTATTATGTCACACAGTTTCGTATCAGTTATGTAACAATTAGAGAACGATGCAATAAGACAAAAATTATTACTCTGTGATGTAATGAATATATCACACAGTTATATAATAGTTATTTGAAAAAATTATGTAACTGTTATATCACCATCCAGTAACAGTGTTATATAACAGTGTTACTATCTCATTATATAATGGTTACATAATAATATTGTCACAGTGTGATATAATAATGTAACCTACTTTATTAATTATAACAAAATTATGTATCTGTTATGTCACACAGTTTCGTAACAGTTATGTAACAATTAGAGAACAATCTAACAAGACAAAAATTATCACTCTGTGATGTAATGAATATATCACACAGTTATATAATAGTTATTTAAAAAAATTATGTAACTATTATATCACCATTCAGTAACAGTGTTATATAATATTGTTACTATCTCATTATGTAGTTGTTACATAACAATATTGTCACAGTGAGACATAACAAGGTGCTTTATTTGTTATGTAACACTTACGTAACGTGTTTGCTGGGATAATTAGTGGATTACTTTTATTTTATTATATTTTTAGTAAAATTTTATGGCAAAGCGTTAGTAAACATTTTTCGTTAATTTCAATATCAGTGGCTTATATTAATACTATTTTAGTAAAATATAGGAACTTTAATCAAATAAATAATTATAATAATTTTTGTTTACTTTTAGTAAAATTTTACCGAAAAATATTAGTAACGATTCTTATTGCTTTCAATATTTTCAATACACTATTAAATTATTTTTATTATTTTATTATATACTATATTTTTAGTAAAATTTTCCTAAAAAATACTAGTAACAATTTTAAGTAAATTTCAATATTTTTAGCGTTTGCTTGTATTATAATTTTAGAAAAAAATTTTACTTAAAGAAATAGTAAGAATTCTTCGTTAATTTTTAAAATTAGTTGTTTATATTTGTATTATTTTAGTAAAAATACTCCTAGTTTATTTTTAGTAAAATTTTACTAAAAAATTCTAGTAAAAGTTCTTAGTCAACTTGAATATTAATAGATTATTTTTATTACTTAATGTAATAAAAAGTTTTTAGTAAAAGTCTACTGAAAAAATATTAGTAACAATTTTTAGTTAATTTTATTATTAGTGAAATTTTATTTTTACTTTATATTTTTTGTAAAATGCTACAAGAAAATAGTAACTATTCTTGATTAATGTTTTATAGTAGCGGACGATTTTAAACTAATTTAGATATGTATATAGAAATGAAAATAAAAAAAAATTAATTAAACTTTTTTCTTTTTTTAAATTTAGTTATTGAATTATTGAAGTATTAAAAATATAAGTTATAATAATGAATAAGCTTACCGAAAATTCGAAATGCCCATGAAGATCGAACACTTTCCGGACACTTTTCATTTAAGGCCGAGCATAAATCCAGTAAATCTTCAAAACCCATTTTTCCATCTCTTTTAGACGAAAACACACGAAATATTGAATCTCGAAATGGATTATGCTGAAAATTGTTATTATAATTAATAATTTATTTATTTTGGTAATTATAATATTATTATTGAATTTCTTGATTATAATAATTTTTATTTTTTTATTTTATTAAAATACAATACTATTCGAATAGTATAGTAATAATAAAAATGATAATGATTTTATATTTCTGCGCCCGTTTGAATATAAAATAAATAAGATAATAAATAAATATTAGTAAAAATAATAAAGTTAGTATTTTGAATAATATTCAATGCACTTTATTTTTATATAATATTTATTACTTATGAGAGAATGAAAAATAAAATTTTTTATAAAAAAAAATTATTTATACAAATAAAGTTAATATTTTGTATTGAGAGTAAAATATGTATAAATTTAAAATAAATAATTGTAATAATATACATAATACATTTTTTAAGATTGGAATAAAATTTTGTAACCATTTTGTGAAAATTGTTGTAAAAATAAAAATTATTCGAATGATTAAATAAAAAAAGTGCTGCCTGATGTAATTTAATATATTGTAGAGTTATGATATTTGTATTATTTATAATATATATTTGAAAATTACGGGAAATCGTGAAAACGATAAAAATGAATAAAAGATGCAGTTTTGTGTAAAATGTTTTTTGGTTTCAAGTGGCAAAATTCGCGTTGAAAATCGCATATGTGTTCAGTGAGTGGTTTAAATGAATTATTGAAACCGAGTGAATATTGGGTAGACTGGAAAATATTGTTGAAGCCAAATCGTAAATCTCGATAGATATCACGTGGGTTATATATAAAATGGCATCATCTATTCTCAATTTGAAAAGGTAGTTGAGCTGCTAGAAGGCATATATGTGTTTATAAAAAAAGGAAAAAGAAAATGACCGCAAATGTATATAATTTTCTATGTATTGTATATATATATATATATATATATATATATATATATATATATATATATATATATATATATATATATATATATATGTGTGTAATATTTTACTTCACATTGTGACCTGAAAAAAGGGGGAAAAAAAATTAGAGGCATACAATTTTTTATATTATTTTAATTTCTTGAAACTATTTTAGTGTTTAAAATTATTCTATCGATTAAAATTTTTTAGTGCCTAAAATTATTTTTAATTATATTAGTGTCTAAAATTATGTTAGTACCTGAAACTATAGTTTAGTGTCTAAAACTATATTTTATTGACTAAAATAATTGTTTTAGTGCTGAAAATTATATTTTATTTATTTAAATTATTATTTTAGTGGCTGAAATTATTCTAGTGGCTAAAACTATTTTTATCCAAAAAAAATATATGAAATATTGCAAAAAAATTCTGAGCACTAAAATTTTAACAAAAAGAAATGTTTTTTTTTTTAAAAAAAGTGGAAATTAATTTTCAGTGAATGAAAATAAAAATTAAACTCACTCGCAAATGTGGAATAATATATAAAACATTTTCCATTGACAATCTGTAATTGATGTCATTGTAAACATTCCTTGGATCGGCTTGTTTGAATAGTTTAAAAATACTGCAAATAATCAGTAATTTTTCATTTTTTTCTAAATTTAAGAATTTTTTAAAGTAAAAAAAATTTTTCTCATTACAAATTTTTTTGTTTAATTAAAAATTCTTTACATTGAAGAATTTTTTTGTTTAATTAAAAAATTCTGAACATTACAAAACTTTTTAAATTGTAAAAATTCTTTATATTGCAAAAATGCTTTATATTAAGATATTCTATACATTATAAAATTCTTTAGATTAAAATTATTTTCTACTTACTAAATAATTTCCGACTTATTCAAATAAGTAAGTTCAGTGTATTCCTCCAATAATTCAGGCGTGAGTTCTTTAAAGCTTGATTTAAAGTTTCCCATTTTTACCCCCTTTAAATATAAACACTTTTATAACGAGTTTTTAATTTTCCTTATCAATATAAAAATAATTTCTTCGAATTTTTATTCTTTTTTCTTCTGCTTTCGAAGTTATGCAATAAACAAGAAAATTTTCAAAAAAGTAAAATATGAAGAACAATTTTTGGAATTTCTTTTTTTTGAAACAATTTTTTTTTGTTTTTAGATGACAATTTAACAAAAAAAAAAATAACAACAAATGTTTTAAATCGCATAAAACTTGTCTGACATTCGATGCATTGGAACAATGATAACTATCGAGCTGAGCTATTAATCAGTTAACAAACTTATCTTATCGTCATTCGGATGTACGCTTTTCAAAATGAACGCGAATGACGCTATTCATTCTTTTCAATCCATTTATAAATTTACGTAAAATAATTGTTTTAATATATTTTACAAATAAAATTGCTGCAAAACAATATATTACTATTATTATTATTTTTATTATTATTAATTAATTATTAATTAATTATTATCATTATTTTTAACATTTTTAGAAATTTTTATTTTGCTATCCGGTCTACTATTTAAATAAATAAATAAAGATATTAATTATAATTACTTTTTTTTATTTTTCGTCGGCTCATCTGTTTATTTACATAAATAAATAATTTTTACTAAATATATTATTATATGATTATTATTGTTATTGAAATTTTTATTTTACGATTCCGTCTATTATATACAAATAAGTAAAGAAACGAAAAAGAAATAGTAATTATAATTTATTTTCTGCTTATAAAAATAAATAACAATTTAAAATTATTTAATAGTAATAGAAAAATTAATCGCTTTTCTCTTGAATAATAACTGAAATCTCATAGAACTTCCTCAAAATTATTATTAAAATAATTGAAAAATTAAATTTTTGTGGATAAGAATAAATAATAATAATAATAAGTATTTACAATCATTATTTAACAAAATTATTAAAGCATTGAATGATTTAACTTGGAAATTCCGAAAAAATTTGGTTTCTGGAGAATGATAGTTATATTTTTTCAAAATTCCGAAAATTCAAAAATATGATCAAAACCTTTAAAAATTTTTTCTATTTCTTGCCAAAATTAATTTTTAAATAATATTCAAATATTTCAAAAGTTTTAATGCAATTATCTTAATAAATAACGAAATTCTTCACAAAGATTCAGTTATTTTCAGTAATTTTAAAACAATTCTTTGAAAAATTCAATTATTTTTATAAATAACAATATATATCACAAGAATAAAATTTCATTTAGGAATTCAATTATTTTCATCGCAGAATTTCAAATATTTTTAATACAAATTTTTAATAAATCCCTTGAAAAATGCAATTATTCTTAAAAATTTTATTAAAACTTGACTGAAGAATTCAAATTTAAGAAACATTCAATTATTCAATAATAAAATAATAAAATTCGTTGCAATGATTCAATTATTTTATAAATAATAAAAATCTTCTAAGGAATTAAATTATTTTCAAAAATTTTAATAACATTTTTCTAAAAAATTCAATTCTTGTCATAAATAATAAAATTTTTCGCAGGAATTTAATTATTTTTAATACAATTATAATAAAATTTTCGAAAGTATTTAATTTAAAAAAAAAAATAAAATTCTTTGGAAAAATTGAAATATTGTCAATACAATTTATATTAAATTTCCCAAAAAAATTCTATAATTAAAAAATTTTTTTTTTAAATTCGTCAAAAGTATTCAATTTTCTTTTCAAAAATGTGGATACAATTCTTTAAAAGAATTTAATTATTTTCTTAAATAACATTTCTTGAAAGAATTCAATTATTTTCTGCAAAAAATTATATTTTTTATGAAAAGAATTGAATTCTTTGGGAAATATTATTAAAATCATATGGAAAATAATTAAATTCCTTCAAAGAATTTTATTATTTACAACAAGAATTTAATTTTTGATCAATTTAAAATAAATTTCTCGAAAAATGCAATTATTCTTAAAAATTTATAACATTCAATTATTTAATTAAATAATAAAATTTGTTGCAATGATTTAATTATTTTCATAAATAACTTTTAATTCGTCTCAGAAAATCAATTATTTTCAAAAATTTTCAAGTAAATTCTGCAAAAGAATTCAATTATCTTGTTAAACAACAAAATTCTCCCCATAAAATCAATTATTTTAAGGAATTTTAATAAAATTCTATCAAAATTTATCACAAGAATTCAATTATTTTGAAAAGTAATAAAATACTTTGCAGAAATTAAATTTTTAGAAATTTTCGTCAATAATTAAATTTTAATAAACATTCAATTATTGAATAAATTATTTATTTTCGTATTTAAATAATTGAATTCTCGTAGAATTTCGTAATGAAAATTGAGTTAAAAATGAATTTCGGTTAAAATTTTAGATAATAATTTAATATTAAAAGCATTATAGCTTGTATTTTTAAAAATAATTATATTTTGAAAAAGGTTTTTAAATTCAAATCTTTGTAAATCTAAATTTTTCGTTCTGTTAAATAATAATTAATTAAAGAAGAATTTTAGCTAAAAATTGTAGAAAATAATAATTGAATTTAAATGATGAAAATAATTTCAAAGAAGTTAGGAGTAACAATATTCATAGAAAAAATAATAATTTTATCCCTGGTTTATCGTTAATTATTATAAATTTCAAAAGATTTGAATTTTAATGTTTTGAAAAATCTTAATTTCAATGGAAAAATAATTCTAATGTTTAAATAATCATGATAAATAAAATAATTGTTTTCGATTATTTTATAATTAAAGAAATTCGCAAATATTCGAACAATTTTTTCAGTTTCTAATCATTTTTAGAGTGAATATGAAATATTCATATTTGAAATCAGTACTAAAAGACGTTTTCAGTCAGACGTTATTTTTATTATTTTTATATTTTTAGTTTTTATTTTTATATTTTCTAAGAGAAAATTTTTATTTTTTATATTTCTGTATTTAATCAAACTTTTTATATACGTTGTCAGTAGTAGAAGTCAATTTGGATCAGACATTTTTTTATTAGTATAGTAAGAAACAATTTAAGTCAGACGTCAATGTATTTGTTCAACAAAACCAACAGAAAATTATATGTCTTTCTAAAATCAGTAGTACAAGTCAGTTTTCTTTAGAAATTGTTTTTTTTTTTGGGCTAGTAGTATAAGATATTTTCAGTTAGACGTTACCCTAAACACTTGATATTAACTTGCTAAAAGTTAAATATAAGAAGAGAAAATTTTGTATTAAAATATAAATATAAAAATCTGTAGTGAAAAGCAGTTTTGTTCAGATGTTGTTTATTCTTTTTTGAACTAGTAGTTAAAGATATTTTCACTCAGACGTTACTTTTAGTACTTAATATAATAGCACTAAAGAGAAAATAAAAAAATTATATTTGTCATCAGTAGTGAAGCTCCGTTTCGGTGAGACAAGGTTTCTTTTTTCTTCGAACGTCAGTAGTAAAAGTCAGTGTCACTGTTAAACTACAATTGTAGTTTGACAATTGAATTCGTTAATTAAAAGTTTAAATTAACAAATGCATTAGTTTTTTATATTAGTAGTTAAAGACAGTTGCTGTCAGACTGATTTTTATTAATTCCTAGTTTCAATTTAGTGAAATTTTATTATTGTCTTCAGTCATTATCTATATTGTTGCAGCATTAGTAGTACAAGTCAGTTTTCGATCAGACTTTGGATGTAATTTTTTTATCAGTAGTAAAAACCAGTTTTGGTCAGACTTCAGTTGTACAGACGTAGATTATCTACGTCAATTACAATTATTACAATTATACATTATCGCAATTATCCTAATAAAGTAATTAGAAAACTAAACAAAATGATTTTACTTACTATTCTACTGACTATAAAATACATATTTAAAAACAAAGAATTTAAAAATTAATTAAAGTAGGATAAATGTTAAATGCAAAATCGGTAGTAAAAGTGACTTTTCAGTATATAAGACTATTTAATTTGATTTTAGCAACTAATGTCGATGAAATTCGAGTGTTATATATTGAGAGGGAGAGAGAGAAGAAATTGTTGATGTATTTGACAGAATTCTTGGGAAGTGAAATGAGCGGATATGGGAGACCTCGCACGCACCCCTGCGTTTACGTCGAAATCGTCCGGATCATAACCGAAAGCTGCCCAATAATTATTACACGACTACATAGCGGTTATTGTCCCAATTCGAGGTGGTTGCGGATAATGGCTGGCTGGAGAGGTCATGTGAGGCTGACGTTCCAACATGTCAACAGCAACTATGCATCATCAGATGTCTGCACCACGTAACGCATCCCTCGGATATGGGTACCCAGAGTGTTTGTATATATGTGTATATGTGTCTGTTAATGTTTGTGTGAGTGTGTATGCTCATTGTAATAAGCAACCGCCGATCGAACAAAACTCTGCACTTCCAATAAAATTAAAATTATATTATATCGATTCGACCTATTAACATAACTTTTAGTAGCCGAATAATTCTCTCTTTTTATTCTTCTTTTTTCAAAATTCTTTTAATATACTTTTTTAAATATAGTTTAATTAAAAAGAATTTCATTATTTTAAGGCCATCCATATATATTATCACTATTTTTACCATTTTTTGCCCTCCGCCTTCCTACCCCTGGAAGTGTGATTTTTAAAATCTACGTCTGACTAAAATTTGTTTTTATCGCACTAATAGAAAAAATTATAAAGAATGTCTCTGACTAAAACTAGTTTTTATTCTTAATAGAAACAATTATAAACAATGCCTGATCGCAAATTGACCTTTACTACTGACGTCGAACATTAATTTGCCAAAATACTTGAAATAAAGAAAATGTTAAATTTTCGCTTTTAGAACTAATATCAATCAGTAAAAATAATGTCTGACTGAAAATATTTTTTACTACTAACACAAAAAAATTAACAATGCCTAAACAAAATTGACTCGTACTACTGATTTTAAATATATACATTTTAACAAATTAACAATTTTGACTAGTTTCTAGTTTCTACCAATAATATATCAACAAAAACAATTGACGTCTGACCAAAACTTGGTTATTTTTTACTAATGGAAAAAATTATATACAACGCCTAATAGCAACTGACCTTTACTACTATGATGTCAAATATAAAAAAATTCGACTCTGTATCACTGATACCGACAAACAAATACAATTGATGTCTTACTGAAATTGATTTCCATTACCTACTGACAAAAAAATTAAAAAAAAATTATAAAAAATTGCCTGACCGAAATTGACTTGTACTACTGGTAC